GGACAACTCATCACGGCTTGTTCTGAATTTGCTTAGTACGTTAGTGCGTTAGTACTCGCTATGGACAACTCATCACGGCTTGTTCTAAATTTGCTTAGTACCTTAGTACTCGGTACGGACAACTCATCACGGCTTTGGAAGGTTTATTACTCAGCCGTAAGACCTATTTGTTTTATCTTCTTTTTCAACCGATTATTTCCTAAATTTATAATTCCTTTGCATAGATGTAGATAAACAAATAAAAGAAAGATAGAATTTTTAGGTTTATAATGGGCAAGAACAGCAGAACTGAAACAAGTCTGATCAAATCGGCTTAATTTTAATAGTACGTTAATCATCCGTACTAAGCGAAAAACAAGAAAAAAAAAGAATCGTATTTTGGGCATGGTCTAAAAGTACTTACCGTATTTATTCACTTATAAGGCACACCATTTTTTATGAGAAAATAATTTATGCTTGTTTGATCAAAATCAGCTCAAAACTTGGGGTGCGTCTTACAACTGAGTATTTTCGCTCAACAAAATCTTAAGATCACAATTTTAGCAGAACTTGCAGTTACAAAGGCATGAAAAGAACACTAATTATTGGTCATTAACTTTTGTAGATCTGGTGGTTCTAAAAAGAACTAGGGTGGCTCTGAAAAGAGCCGTTGTGGTGGTTCTGAAAGAACTGTTTCTTCTACGGCCTCCATCAAATGACCACGAAACTAATCCCACACAAGCAGGGCTTTTTGATCTGAGATATAGGGAAGATTGCATATAATACAATCCTTTAACCCTATGAATAAAAAAGGAATACTGCTTTTAGAACACTAATCAACTTGAAAAGATCAGCAACAAAAGCAAACAAACGGAAATTTGCATACATTCTTAACAGCGTGTGCTCGGTAACATGATATCCATAACTACAAAACAATCGTTCAAACCACGTTTCAAATTCCTATAATCGTGTGTTGCTTGTTGGAAAAGTTCCATCTCTGAATAAACAATGTGGAGATGAGACCTACCTTTTTCATCCATCCAGCCTTTTTTGTGCTTTGAAGCTTGCATCCTCTGTGGCATGTTGATATTCAGCTGTCGAACTGGGAGTTTTTTGCCATTCGCTTTCACCGCCAGAGCAACCAGGAAACTTTTTCAAATCCATCACACCTTTTATTAACTCTCAACCTATAGGGTGCATCTTATAACTGAGTATTTTCACAAAACTTTCCATTTGGGGACTTGGCTTTACTAAGTTGCTAAGTTTGGGGTGCGTCTCATAACCGAGTGCGTCTTATAAGTGAATAAATATGGTAACTAAATACCCTTGGTGTTTTTTAAATATGGAGCTCTAAAGTTACCATCTTTCTTTATTAGTACAATTTTTTGGTCACTGCTGACCATAGTAATATGCAGAGGACAAGTTAGGTGAAACCTAGTATAGAGTCTAACTCAACAACAATTCCCCTGTATCTAAAACTCATTGATATATAACTGGACAGGGAAATCCTAAGGTCTGAGTTCAATTCGTGGTTTTAGACTTGTATACTATGTTTGACATGAGAAAAGTAACCATATTCAATGGCCATACTCAACAGCCTAGCTCACCAACAAGTTCAGTGTTGAAGCATCAAGCCCTAATCCATGGTTCTTACAGTTTAGGTTTAAATCCCTTTTTCCCCCATACTTGCAACAAGAGATAACATCTTCATGTATAAGAACTGTTCTTTGGAGATTTTCATGAGTTTCAGCTGAGTAAGCTTCAAGGTCAAAAGGTCTATCAAGTGCTCAAAAGATGCAGTTAAAGTGTAAACTACAATAAGCAGACCTTCAACTAAGCAGTCATCCTGAATGAAGTGGACACAGGGCCAGGTCTCAAGTTTCTTGTCCCCTTTCCATTTTTTACTGGCAAAATGAATTTTTTAAGCAAGCAAGTGCCTCAAAAAAATCAGATAGCCTAATCAGGGAGATTATATGATAGTTACAGTTCGTTTGATTGCATTTGAAACAACTTTTTGAAAAATTAGTTTTATTTTATCTACCCAAAACAGGGATTCAAAAGGTTACTAATTTTTCACTCTTATTGTAATTGGGAGAGAATTAGTTGACTTCTTCTGCACAATCTACTTGACCCATATTGATACAATACATGTATGTGAACTCTATTGACTTATGTTTTATTACAGTCATGACTCCTTACATTACATCTTAGGTTGTTGCCACACCTTTGGAAGATTTTCATACGCAAGTTGTGACTTTACTGAGTTAAAAAGCTTGTTTTCAGGTATGGTTAAATGGGCTGGAAAAAGAAGTGAAGTTTTCTTTTGATACTAGGTACTTTTGCCATCCAAATGTTCAGAATGGACCATTTTTCTCCTACTTGTGTTACTTTTTTGATTAACTAAATATCGCTTGAAAACTAAATGAATAGGTTGGTAAACTTCTTCAGAATGGGCAAGTAACACTAACAGTTATTAGGAAAAATGCATTTAAAAGCACGTAAATGGTCACTTGACAACTGATTGGAAAAACTATAATAATTGTTTTTATATTTTAGTATGGACAAGGTTGAATTGGGTTGGGCCTTACTGCTCTTCAATTTGCTAATTTGTTCCTTATGAGATTAATTAGCAGCTACAGCTTTTTTACCTTATAATGAATGTACTCTGGAGGATCATTTCTTTTGGGAGGTTGTTAGTTCCAAAATTGTATGGGAAACTATTAATCTACTTCAGTTGCAACCCTTGACAGTAAGATTATGAAGAGTGAATTTATTTACAATCCTGTTAGAAGAGAAAAACATCATTGAGATGCCTGATAAGTCCAATTGGTTATAACACAAAAATGTAGAAAGCATTAAGAGATCTTTTGGTTTGTGATGGTGTACTTCATTTGTTTCGACCTTGATGTCTTGTTTGGGTCAGGTGATGTGTTTGTAACAGCCGTCAAGTATATAAGACAAACAAGCTCCTTGGTTGTGGGATTCAACTTTGGCTGCTTCCAAATGTGGAATATGGAAACTCTAACACATGTGTAAGTGTCTTTCTTTTAATAATTTTCCTCTATAGTACATAGTACAGTAAGTATAACATGCAAATACTAGTTCTCCACTGCTCCAACTTGCCTCTAAACAATGAATGTTTTGGTTTCCATATTGCCTATAAAAAGTTTGGTAACTAAATTTACTTTACAAAAGTTCATTGAAATTTGCAGAAGAAAGAAAAAGAACGGAAAAAAATTCAAGGCAAAAAAAAAAAAGAAAACAAATTGAAATGATATGGGTGTCTCATTGATTTTAAACTTGATGTTAAACTTACTTTTTACATGTCTTCTTGCAAGTGTCCAGTATTTATGGTTTTTAATTTACCAGTAACAGTGGACTTTGTTTTCACAGCCTTTGCTTATCTTGTTAGTCAAGATTTGCATATCTTGTTAGTATTTCTAAAGCTTAAATTTTGTAATATATGTATTTTCATTGCTTTTGAATGAACTTGAAATACAATGTAAGTTGCATCTTGCTTCAGTTTAGGGTTTGTTATTCAGTGGTCTTGGTTATGAAATTGTTTGTCTGTTTATTTTGGTTCTAGTTACAGCAGCCAGGTTGGGCAGTATTATTCAGCTGTCACCCACTTCATGTACCAGGTAGTTGTCAAGCTCTTATTTTTTCTTTCAAGTGTATGCACTAGTGACATCAAATCAAGTTTTAGATTTTGAAATATCTTGATAATAATAGGTTGTTCAAGGTTTTTTTATATTGAATTATTCTGTAAAAGTATAACAGTAATTGTATGAGTCGCAAGTAGTTTTTCAGCAATTTTTCAGCAAGCGAATAATGTCAAAAGGGGAAAGTAAAATTTATAGTTGATCCATTCCTCACAGATTGCCTTGTTATGTTTATATGTTATGTTAATTTTTCAGCAAGCGAATAATGTCAAAAGGGGAAAGTAAAATTTATAGTTGATCCATTCCTCACAGATTGCCTTGTTATGTTTATAAACATGTGAACCTCCTCAGATAGGAAGGTACAAGTTTACATGCTCTTTTTTACTAAGATCTGTTCATGTTTTTTATCTTTATGAAAAGGATGTCTTGTCAACATTATTTTGATGCAGAAGGCCTGCAATTTATTTTTCCTCTTGTTTTTGTTCATTTGTTTGTTTAATTTTGCCACCAATAGGAGCCAGAGAATGATCCACGTTATTGCTGTTACTTATGGGTAGCTCGGGGTCCACTTGTTTTAGAAAACTGTCCCGAGACTCCAGCAACACTGACTTTATATCAATTGGTTTTTGCCTCAAGAGACATATTGACAGGTTATGGGGTGATCTACAAGGTTTGTATGGTCCAAAAGTTTCCTTAGAACTTTACTACGTTGTGATGACTGGTGATTGTGATGGTCACTTCTCAGGAAGTTTTAGTTTTTTAGTTATGATTGGCGTTTCAGTTGGAAGTCAAGAGAGTATGATTTTTCACGGGCATACATTAATTTTATGTCTTTGCAAGATAGCAAATGCTGTGTCATTGTTTCTCATTAGGAACTTGGTGGTGTTGGTCGTCGATTTGAACATCAGCTTACTTCTGATGTTCATCATCTTGCTGATGCTACATCAGTTGGAAGTAAAATTGTGTGCTGTTACACTTTAGGTAGGAGAACACTTCTTAGATTTTGCTTTCTTTTTTGAGTGAATTTTTTCACACCTGTTTGACCTCTATTTTCTGTTTTCTTATATTCATCGTCATAGTCTGGGACAAAAGGAAATACAAGTTAAAATGGTGTGAACAAATTTCAATCCGGAAAAATTTTTAGCTCCAACATTTACAAAGCAGAACAGTGATCAATGCCAAGGAAATAAAACAAAAACTTAGTTGTTAGGAAATAGGTTGTTGTTCGTCATGGTAGCTGGATGATGATATAGATTTGTTCTGTTGTCTCACGACAAAGTCACTTGATGTAGAACGGGATGTTTGGACTGCTTACTGCAAGTCTTCTTCAGACGATGGGGTCAACTGGTCACAGCACACCATTATGTATCATGGTGGTCTGTCATAATCGGTGCAAGATGGCATAGTCTATAAGATACCATGCACATGCAGCAAAGTCTACACCGGGAAAATAGGACGACCCATGCAAGAAAGAACAAAAGAACACGACAGGGATATACGACGCGCACGCACTCAGAATTTCACGGTTTCAGAACGAGCTAACAGATCCAGACACAAGCTGCTGTGGAATGAAATAAAACTTATTGACCAAGACAGCCACTGGTACATAAGGAAAGTGAAAGGGGCAATTTACATAAGACTCAACCCAAACAACGTAAACAGGGACAACAGAGTGTGGATGCCTACAATAAGAAAACATCAAAACCATCGATGCATGAAAAATCAGCGAATGTCTGAGGAAACCATGGTACATGGAAACAATGGCCAGATTGAAATGCACCAGTTGCAACAGACCAGCATGATACATAATGCTGTGCTGCAACCAGTTAACCCATTGCCTGAAGAAGACTTGCAGTAAGCAGCCAAAATGTCATGTTCTACATCTAGTGACTTTGTCATGAGACAAAAAACAAATTTATATTATAAAAAACTTAGTTGTAAGACTCACACAGTGATCTAGTGACATTGCTACATTTTCATTTTATGTACATTTATGATTATGTGTATTAAATGGTTCCCTTTCTATTTTAGAAAAAGGTTACAGTTCATTGGACAATCTGAGGGTGGATGGGAGTGCAGGTGCTGAGAGTAAGAACTTCCTTGTCTTTTACTGTCTTGAAATAGCAACTGTACTTTCAGTGATGTGCAAAGGTGTTTGTTGAGTAAAACAGGAGTCAAGGAGACAGTTTTAAGATCATTCAGTGATAAGAAGTTAAGTGAAGTGGTGTGGTAACTTTCACTGACAGGGACTTCATGATTTAACATTAATTTGAAAGATAAACTGTTCTTACTTCACATCTGATCTTTTGCCAAATTAGTCATGGCAGAAAATCATACCCATAAAACCCTACATTTCTTTTATACAATCTTACTACATTGCTCACAACACCTGTGGGCAAGTTGAAGTGAATCCTGTGTTCTGATTGGTTACTCAAGCGGGGAAGATGGGCCCATCTTGCCTGCTAGGGATTGCCTGCATTGATGTCATGCATGAAAAAAATAGAATTAGAACTATGTTTGTAATTCTTGGAAAATTTTGGTAATGGAAACACAAAAAGCAGCAGAAGATAGTCAAAACAAAGAAAACAGAAACGACTCTTGTGAGTTTGGTGTGCTACAAACACAGTTGGCTTTTTTTCCTGGCTCTCAAAGGAAACAAGTCATTCTTAATTCTTAATAAAGTGAAATCTTTTTGCAATGTAATAAATACTTTATTAACCAAGGGCAGGGCTCGACACTAACTTTTAAACTTACTAGCCAAGTGGCTAGCTAAACTGGCTAGTGGAAATAAAAAACCACTAGTCAAAACTGAATGTCTACTAGTCTGTGGCTAGTGGGCTACCATTAGTGTCGAGCCCTGAAGGGTGTTCGGTCAAGATGGCTGGATATTGGCCTCATTCTTTTTTGGCATTTTTATGGATCTTAACTTCGTCTCTGTCCATAAAAATGCCAAGAAAGAACTCGGCCTTTATCCAGCCATCTTGACCTTATGCTTGGTTAATAGCATATATATATTGCTTTTCTAACACTTCTGAGTTTTTTACTTTCTTGAAATACAAACATTTCAATATCAAGAAAGTTTCACTTTTTCTTAGTATTCTTGGATTTCTTAGGAAGTCCTTTAATTTTTTTTTTTTAATTTTTTTTTAGCAAATTTTACTTTTGCCAGCCATTGTCATTTTATGGCTTGATTATAGCAAATCTCTGGAGATAGTATTCTTGCTAGCTGAGGTTCCAAAAGAGGAGGGAAAGGAGGTTTCCACACACTGAAGGGGGGGGGGGGCTAGTTTTGAATTTGGATATCAGAGTTGATTATGTTGCTCACTTGTAAGGTTGTTGCCAAATGAAGCAAAGTAAATGTCAACTTCAAACTCACAAGTATGTTAAATTGAAACTTCCATTTTTGGAGAGTGAGTTAAGATGTAATCCTAATTTTAGTATTTTGAGCTTTACTTGGGGAGGCTGAGTTGCTTCTTACATTATATGTTTGTTTCAGGTGAACATTTTCGGGATCTTACTCTGGCTGTATGTGTTTGGGAAGCTCCTGCACAGGATCCACAATCCAGGCCCACATGTCATTTGGGGATCTTTGATATTAATTGTTGGTACCATTCACAAATGCCCCCATCTATTAGGTGAGAGAGTTATCCTAGTTACATGTTTAAAGCTAATGATTAGTACAACCGCCACCTGGCATGAGATGGACAAATGAATTAGGGTAACTGCTGGCTTGTTACATATTTTATTATATGACCTCTCACGCAAAAATGTTCCTAACGGTAGCCGTTTGAACAGTGAATGGAATGGCAAGCGAACGGGTGACGAACAGCTAGGAAATCCATTCGAAACGGATACTGTGAACGGATGAATGGCTAATTAAAATTTTCGAACAGATGAACGGCTAGTGAAAGTTTTAGAACGGATGAGGTCGAATGGATGAACAGCTAATTAAAATTTTCGAACGGATGAGGTCAAACGGATGAACGGCTAATTAAAATTTTCGAACAGTAGTAGGAAAAGGAGGTTTCTGGCACATTTTTCAAAATTGCCTGAAAAAATAAGGCAGTTTTGAAAAAATTCAATTGCCCTAAAAACAAGGCAATTTAATGTGTCAAAACAACCATGTTTTCAAGGTAATTTTGAAAAAATGATTTTATTCTCACTTGAAAAAGAACAACGATGATTTTAAGGCAAAATGATTGGTGCAGTTTTTCTTTCAAAAATCAAAGCAAAATTGAAGCATTTTGAGATTACATTGATTCTCAAGACAATCTCAAAATGTGTTTGAACCATCAGAAAAAACTAATGACAATATCTCAGAAATAATTCCAAAAAATTCATGACCGCATTATTAATAGGTCACACTTTCAAGCTCTCTGTTGACGATGTTGAACTGAGCATCAGAAAGAACGAAGATGTGACATTTAACATTTCCTGAACCCGATCCTTTCCTGTTAATTGCAAGATGAACTCCATCTTTTGTATTCACCAATCTCAATCCTGAACTGTGAAGATCATTGTCTCTCATGCTTCTAATATCGGTAAAGGGACCGATTCTGTCTCGAGCATAAAAGTCTGTTGCATTCATTGCGCTGTTCTCCTTCCCAAATCTTCTAAAGAACTTAACATCAGTGATGTTGGGATTAAACGTCTTTTCACTATTTCTTGTTCCTGCTGTGTATGTCATAAAAAAGAAGAAGAAGCCCCTTCATAGACCTCCTTGGAACATTGATGCTCTCATTGATGATTGTGTCGGAACCTTTCATCTATTGAGATTGTCTTAAGATGAGTGATATGTTCGTACATGAATCTCTTTCCATTTTTGCAGTTAGAAAGGGCTTCATCAGCAAGTTTTTGACTGTGAATGACTTCATACTCAAGCTGGATGTCAGTCAATAATTGATAAGAAAGTTTTGTTGGGTCGGATCCCTTCACAACACTACCAGTAGGTGCAAGCCTGAGCTCGAAGAGAAGCTCATCAGAAAGAGCTCTCGGAAAAAAGACTCCATGATCCTTCAAAATATCATGATCCAATGGAATCCTGTACATATTCCCATAAACTGCATTGAGCTTATTTTCTTTATCAACGCGCGAAGTCTTCTTATCTCCAGCGTTGCATCTGATTTTTGAAAGATCTTCAGACTGAATACCTTCTCTGAACATGTTTGCCCTCTCATTCTCAGTCAAGAAGAGGTCCTCCCAAACCTTGAATAAATCATAACCATCAGTGTCTTGCACAATTTCTACGGCAAACTTCAAAGTCAGTTGATCAACAAGAGCTTATGCTACATTGTTCATGAGGAAATTGATTGCATGCCCACTTACTGTCAAGTGGAAGACGAGTGCGAGCGATCCAGGCACAAGTACTACCCCATTATCAAGTTTTGGAACTGGAACCCTAAGGACTTCACCAGGGGAAGCACTATTCAGGTTGAATGTTACTCTGTGAATCACATGGTCTGCCTTGAGAGCGTTTGACATCTTTTTTTCAAAACTCGGGCCAATTCTTTCACTGATTTCCATTTTTTATAAAAGATATTGTAAAAAATGGCAGATTTTGGAGATACTGATCCTCGGTTAGAACATAATGATGATGATGATGAAGAAGATGACGAGGTGGGAGCAGATGAAGGAGACACAACAACACCTTTTCAATCAGATGAGAATTCAACTCTAGGGCCCTCAGGCGAAGAAATTCCAATGACGACAATGAACAGAGAGCAAGAAAAGGGCTCAAAAACTGCTGAGACATCTTTTATTGAAGGTGATATTTTTGGTTCGTGAGTTTTAATTTCAAATGAGAATGCATGGGAAACACTTTCTGCAATTTTTCCTGAGGCAAAAGCTTCAGAACTTGAAGTTTCTTATAGTAAGAGAGGAAGGTTGCAGGTGAAGATGTTTGGTCAAGGTAAGAAGACATATCCTTTGTTTACTCAAGAAAGAGGCACAAATGAGCAGAGGTTGAATCCAAGTCTCTCAAAAGAAATTAAAGGATCACTTGGTCTAGAGCGAAAGGTTTTGATTGCTCAGAAAGACAAAGAAATTGAGAAGCTGCAACAGTCAATTCAAGATGATCGAGATATTGCTGATGATGAGAATGAAAACCCTGCTATGAGAGAACGAGCAAGAGAAAGAAAAGCAGAAAATCAAGAGCAGATTGATGTTCTTGAGAGTGAAAGAGAGAGAGACTAGAAGAAAGATTATCGCTCCGTAAGAGAGTGAGAAACATCTTCAAAAGTATGGTTTTACAGTCTCTGCTGTTGTTTTGGCAGTTGGAACAACAATTGGAGTGATTGTGAGCACATTGACAAAAGGCTTGAAGACTGTTTCTAAAGGTGTGGGGAAGGGACTCAAGACTCTTGGAAAAAAGATCGCTGGAATTCTACCAGGTCTCATTAGTTCAATAGTCGGCTTCGTTTTCAGAGCTGCTGGCTCAGTGATCAGCTTTCACAGGTGAGTTCTGATATTGGCTGTTGCCATATTCATGGTTGAGCGATTTCAAAACAAAAGGCGATGAATCAGGAAGGCTGAGACCAGTCCAACTGAAATCAACCCAACCTTAATTTTATCATGATTTCTAGCGCTGGCACTGGTACTGTCGCTGTTGCTCTTGCTCACGCTTGTCTTCGTGGTCTCAGACTGAACCTCAGTTGAAGTCTTTTGATCTGATAACTGAGAAGTAGGTCTCTTGATTTTCGATAAGCCCCCATTCGTATGGTCAACTCCTACTGATTTCATATCCAAATTCACTGATTTATTGACCCCAAACTTCATGTCAGAACTTGCCTTCTTCAGCTTGTTATTATACCCAACTCTGCTCTGTGTGTTCAGAAGAAGATTTGAGGGCATCAGCCAATTACCTGGTGAGATTGCAAGATCAAGTCTGACTTTCGCCTCATCAATCGCGAGCTGAAACCTCTGAACGCTCTTTGAGATGTCTGTCATTGTGATTGCATCCTCAACTAAAACAAGGAACTCACGCTGAGCTTCTTTAACACTTCCTGATAAACCCAAGATGGTGATCTTACATTGACTTGTGAACCAAGAATACAATAAAAAAATGCCTCAATCGACTGATTAAATCTCGCCATCTCGGCTTGTGTCAAGCCTTCTGACTTATCTGCCATGAAAAACTCAAACTGTTTTTCAACTTTAACATTGTCATTCCTTATGAAATATATCAGATTGCCTTTTATAGCTTTTCCACCTTCATTGCTGAACTTGTCACCAGGATATGGGATTGTTGTTGCCATAGGTCCAGTATTTGTGACATAAATGAAAACAGATCTGAGACCGTGATTGCCTCCTTCTTTGAAGCGGAAGTCCGTGCTCGATGAAATTCCAAATTCTGAACACAATCTTTTGAACGACGGCTGATCGTAGTTATTATTTGTCTGACTCAAAGTTGAGTCACATGGGAGAGCCGATTCACTCTGTATTCCACCCATCTCAAAGAGAATTCTTCTGATTGTGAAATAAAAAATTAATGTGAAACTGCAGAAACGACTTGATCTGTTCTGGAACCATTTCAAGCAGTTCACGAGAGATTCCACAGCCTGAACTAGCGCACCACACAGCAAAGTTGAGTTGTTGAGGCCAGTAGCACATATTCAGCCCAGCAAGCCGTCTCTTTGATTTTGTACCTGAGCTGCGCTGAATTTTCATTCTTGTGAATATTTCTTTGAATTTTGCTTCGAAATATTGATTTGGGGTGACAAATATCTTTATCTCTTCATTGAGGTGACTTGTCGAAGTCGTGTGAAATGGAACTGCTGGAACCTCCTTAATTGCAGAAGGATTCAAAGTGGGCTTGGTGGAAAATCCTGCTATTCCAAGCGTGCACTTCATTTCATCATCCCAGTCTTTCCTGATTGATCCTGAGACACTAGTTTGAACACCATCAGCTCAATTTAAGTAAACTTCTCCTTTTCCCTCCTTCTTGCTGAAGAATGTTACCAGCACATTAAACTTGCTCAAATCTGCATTTGGATATTGTGCTTGGAAATCATTCCAGGCTTTTGTTCTTTTTTTCTCAGCAATTCTTTTTGCTTCATCTGATCTTAACCACGCAATGAACATTTTAATTTCTTTTTTTAAATCAAAATGGTTTTGTTGACAATGATTGAAGTTTCAAATGATTTCACAGTTCTCTTCCAAGAACCTCTTTTGAATCTTGGTGAGCATATCAGGCTGGTGAGCTGTTCTCTTTAAAACTCATGGCACAACTTGAGTCGCTCTGGAGAAATCTCTGTATTTGATGCTCAGGACAATTCATCTGTAAAGACAATTCCTGAAGGAAAAAAAATCATTTGCGAAATTCTTCAGAAAAAGACGAGGAAGAGGCTGCAACTCTCAGAGAGGAATTAAAAAAAGAATACAGAAGAAAATTAGGCTCTCTTCTAACACTGGTGCCCCCTACACTCGCAAAGAGTTGAGAATTGAATTCGACAAAAGACTGAGTGGGTTTTCTTTGTTAATTTCAAGTCAAAGAAATTATGAATTAACACATCAATTTTGCTTGAATGCGCCGGTCTTATGTGACCGCAGTTGCCAAGGAAAAAAATGATATTGACACATTTGCTTTGTCATCACAAATATATTTTTAGTTTGAAGACCATGCCACCCTGTACTGTTC